CGGAAGTAGATTGCCCAACCTTCCTTCTGAGGAGTGGCTGGTGAATTTGAACTGCCAGCCTTCTGGTTAGCAGTCAAATGCCTTAGGCACTACACTACCAGAGCTCCTATACCAACTGAAGCAGGTTAGAAATGCAGAATTTCAAGCTACACCCCAGACTGACTGAAGAGAATCTGCATTTTAATAAGATCACCAGGTAATTCAAATGCACATTTAAATTTGAGAAGCATTTCTGTTTCTCAAAAAAAAAATTAGTTAATAAATGTCTGCTTCTCAGACATTTGTAAGCAAGCCTCAAATTCTCAGAAAAGTAAAGTTTATTAGGAGTTACAATAATAGCCTTCCAAGATCTCATTCATTGAAACATAGCAAAGTTGTCAGAACAGGTGAAGAAATTGGGGGTAGAAATCAGTGTGAATCTAGAGCTACTGAGCAAGAAGAGTGGTAGAGTCCCATTAACACCAGGGAGATGGTGTTAGTTGGATATAATAATAAACATAGAGTTAAAGGAGAGAAAAGGCAATGGTAGTGGCTAGTGAGGCTGTTTTTTGGAAAGGGTATGGGTATCTAGGGAGGGAGCACTGAGAAGGAATATCGTTGCTTAACAATAGTTTGAAAATTTTCAGTTCCAAATAGCTTGCCTTTGAGACCTCAGATGTCTCATGCAGTATGATAGTAACTCCTTGAGAGTAATAGTTTGTCACATTTTTATAGCGTAATTCTTTTGCAAAAACTCATTTTCCTAAACAAAAATTTTTTTTTTTTTTTTTTGATACAGCAACCCTCTGTTGAAATGTTTTCTCCCTCTCCGCCTAAACTGCCACGTACCAGTCTTGGAAAAAGAGGTCTCCACCAGACTAGCTCTTCAGTTTACCCTGAGTATGTTTTCCATGACTGGGAGGAGGTCATAAAAGCTGACATCCGTGATCCCTTGCAAATTATTAAAATAGTGCGTGAAAATGAAAATCTTGGATTTCTTTATATGATCCCTGCTGTGGCAAGGTCTTCCATTGAATACGACACCTATAACCTCAAGTGAGTTGTCTTTTATGAAGCAATTTATTTAACACTGAAAACTAGAAATAAGATTGCAAATATTACCCATAATTGATTGGCCATTGTTCTGGTCACCTAGTGCCACTCTGACAAGAATATATACCACGAATGAGGTGGCCTTAAGAAACAGGAGTTTATTCTCTAGCAGTTTGGAGGCTTTAAGCCCAAGTTCAAAGTGCCAGGCTCTAGGGGCTGGGTGAAAGCCCCTCAACCTTGGGGTCCAGCTCTGCCTCCTGCTCCCA